GAAAAGGGAAATTCACGTACAGTCACTGCAGCACTGGAAATGTTATATGTTCTCACTTGGGCTTGCTCAGGGCTCTATAACATAAAACTTGTGGTGCTTCTAAGATCTCAATTGTTTTTAAATTGGAAAGGGCCAGTTTGTAACTCTTAGTGAGTCTTCTTTGTTTTTGGTCTTAGCTATCCTAAGTGCTTGTAAAGTAAAGCAGGCTTTTGAAGAAAATAACCAGAATCCCAGTGGTGCTTGCAGGAATTCACTGTGTTTTGATCTGGCATTATTTTTAGTTCTTGCATAATAAATTAATCTGTATTATTCTGTGTAAATCTGTCTTCTGAGAATTACACAGGGGATACAGGAAGCATGGTAATGTGGGAGCTGGTCCTCATGTGGCTTTTATATCTGCCTTCCTTGCTCAACCTCATTACCAGAGAATAGAAAAGGGTTGTCTTTCAAATTCCTGATTGCGTTTGTCATCTGCAGTTTTCTCTCTTATTTGAATGCTTCCCTGAACTGTGGGTGCACATTGGTTCGATGTGAATTCTCCAACTGGTTGGCCATAGCTGGGCTTCCCTTACTGTGGTGACTCTTTTATTTGTACCAGGCTGTATAAATGAAATGGATTTTTAAGTAAAACTGAATTGGCCAAAGTGTGAAGATTCCTTAGCATCTTCCAACACGGTTGCTTTGAAGTGGCGCAAGGTAAGGGTTTTATTAAAATTTCTAGCTATAAAATTGGTGGTCAGAGGCAATACTACTTTATTCTTTGTTCAAGCCTGTAATACAGCCATTGGTTTTAAATACAGTTCCTGCGGGTGATGAGTGCTAATCAGCTTCTAAGCATTAGAACCAGCTTCTCTGTTTCCACAAGCCTGAACTGGTACACAAACGGCAACAGTTCCTCTTCATTTAGGCTTCCTGTGGCCTTAGGTTTAATAGATGTGGAACGAGAAATAACCTTCAGTTGCATTCTGTGCAGCGGAGCGGGGTTAGCCAAAATTCCTAGTCTGCCTTGTGAGCCAAATCGTACCCTGTGGAGACAGACAGATTACAAGGAGAAAATACAATAGGCCTTTTTGCTGCTTCTGGCTCTCTGGTACGTTTACTGCTTTAGGAAGATAGGACACAAGCTTAACGGGAAATTCTCTTTTGTCTTGTACTTTCTGTAGGTCAGTGTGGACATAAAAGCTGTTTTGAGTAAGTGAAGTGGCTGAATTTGGTTTTAATTTTCATTTCCTTTTTTACCTTTACCCTTCCTTGTCAGAACAAATTGCTTAGTTTTTTCCGATAAGATCTGCAAAAGAAGCCAAATGTGACTTAGTTAGCCTGGTTTAAACAAAGCAGTAGTCTGGTAACTTTTTAATAAAAATACACATCTTATGATCTCATGTTTAAGTAAATAATTAGGTTTTGCTTGAAGTTTACCAAAATCATTAATAGGAAAATGCACAACAGGTCTCTGCATTGTATACAAGAAAAAAACAACTGTAGGCTTGGTTTCATTCCTTTTGAGATAACTCCTCTTTCAATTAAGAGGCGAAGACATTTAACAGATCAGATATGAATAGCAAAGTGAAGCTTAGGTACATAGATACAAATTCTGTGCTAATGCAAGCTAGTAATGATCAATTTTACATTAGAAAAATCTTGTCAGTAACGCACAGAATGTGACGAACATTAATATACAGGTCATTTTTCTTGGGTTTATAAATAGAAATGTTTACAAAAATATGTTATTTGAAGCTTATTCAGTATTGTGTCATACGGTATCTTTAATATATCAGGTTCTGCTAATGTGCCCTTGCTTGTTGACATGACTTTCAAATAGTACCTCGAAGAAAAGCTCATCATGTATTCTCTAGAGAAGTGCTGGCCTTGAGTTCAGTTCAGCATTGGGTTTGACAGAGAAGGAAGAAATACAAACAAATTAACAGCATGCATCTGACAGCTGTGTTTAAAAATACAAAGCCAAACACTAGTTTTGATGAAATATCGCTTTCTCTACTCTCTAAAACAGTTCCTGAACTTCTGCTAAATATCCCAGAGACCAAGAAATTCCTACTGTGAGTATGCCTGGAGCGGGCAGTGAACAGGCAGTGGCAGTGCAGTCCTTCCCCACACCCACAGGCTCCAGCTCTATTCTGGGGCACCCTGCCTACGCCTGGGCAGGTTGCTTCATTTCTAGCTCACCCACTTCTTGGCCGCTATCCTTAGCCTCCTGCTACCTTTCTTTTTTTGTTGGGATTTTTTTTGGTTTGTTTTGTTTTAATCCTCCAAAGTAACCTGTCACTTGGCTCTGACTGTTATGGGCTCATAACAAATGTGCTAAAATTCTCCTCCCTTAGACTTTGCCTTGTTCTCCCTCTACTATTCCCCCCTTTCTCTTGCAGGTATTTAAATGCAGAGGTCTCGGACGTGCAATTAAGTGCAGACATTCGATCCTGACCTAGCGTGGGCTGCTGCCAGCCCTGGTTTTGGTGGTGTGTCAGGCAGCAGCAGGCACAAGTCTTAAAAACGAGCCGATACCCTTTGCCTGGGGAGGTGCAGCAGTTTCCATGGCAGCACAGAGGCCCCCCCCTTGAGCAGAGCTCTTGAGATGGCAGCTTTCTGGATCAGGTAGCTTCAGGTTTTTACCCTAAGCCTAATTCTGAGAGCAGAAAAAATTACTAGAACCAGAGGATGAAGGCCAATAGGAGGAATTTGACTGTACATGTTGCTTGAGTCCTCTTGGCCTTACCCTACACCAAAATCTTAGTAATTCTCTCCAGAATTCCTCATGTATTTTCTTCAGAATCCCTTTTTTCCACCTTACTAAGGCACTGATTGCTTTTGCTAAAGTTAAAATGCCCAATGTGTTGTTTTTCAGGCTACACTATGATTCAAATCGTGCCAAACAAAACTGTTTTTAAACACTTCGGTTACCAGGGATTGTATCCTTCCTGCTAGTTTTCTTGCAACAACATCGAACCCTATAAATTTTCTTTCCGGATTCCTATTTTGCTCTTAGACTCTGGCAGCGGGAGCAGAGGAGTAGGAATGATGGAGTGGTTCTACAGTAAGCTATGAGATGTCTTTACTATACAGGCTACTAGAGGCTTTACCTAGATGTGAATTTCAGGCCTATAAAAACAAAGGTTTTTAGTAAAACGTTCCTAGCCTTTATGATTGTAGAGAGAAGCTTAAACCATGGCTAAAGTTCTTCCCAAAAGCTCAGAAACCAGACAGCAATAGAAAGCAATTGCACAATTCTTCTGCGAACATTTAATATCAGGATTTACGAAAACTTGGCAGTGCTGTTGCAGTATACAACATCATTTTGGAGGTATTTTATAAATATTTGCAATTCTAGTCTATACGCTGTCACAGTTGTAAATAGAATCTTCAAAAAGCAACATTCTCTCTAGTATTTTATTCCAAACAAAGGGAAATAAAGTGTAAACGAGCCCTCTAAATAAAAGCACACATTTTTCTTGTTCCACTGTGACACTGCGGTTAAGGTGAAGAGAAAAACATATTCCTAAATTGTGTGTCGCTCACCAAGAATTAATGCTGTACGTCATTGTCAGATCTGTTTCTAGGACTATAGACTGTAAATTGCTCTGGTCTCAGGATAGAATAGTTTGGCTTTTTGCGCATAAATAATGAACTATTGTGGAAGCATCCTATGTATGCCGGTGGTTTGATACAGAGCCTAGCACAGGAAAACCTACATTGTTCATTTACACACCGGTTTGGCATGCCTGCTGCGTGAAGTTACAGCAAAGCCAGCTTCCTCCCACCTTGGGGTTTCTTTTGAGTCCTGCCTGGAGAGCTGCACACAGCCCTGCTGTTGCGGCAAGGATCTGAAGTGGGACAGCTCTTTAGATTATGGTTTCCAAGAATACCTCGAATGGAAAGAGCCCGGTTGCCTAGGTAACAAGCCAAGAGTCACTTAGCAAAGGTTCTTTTTAGTTAATGAAATGATAAAAGGAAAAGAGTGATGGATCCCACTGTTTTAAGCTCCTAGGAGTGAGCCACCGTGACTGTGGGGATGGCAAAAAGCATGTGTTTTGGTTTGGCCACGAGGTTGTGTCAGGCCGGCCGTCCTCGCAGGGCTGAGGGAATAAAATGCAGGACAGTGAGAACAGGTGCTCCCAGTGGCTTCGCGAACAATGCCTGGAGTGCCGGATACACTCAGGAATGCTGGCTGGGTCTGGTTTGGGGTATTTTGGGGAGCAGCACTGCCCAGAGACAGTAGTTGGGGTGGATGGGACCAGGTTGCAGGGGACTCCTGGGGCTGGTTACTGGCTTTGGGGGGAGAGGCTTCCAGGAGGAGGCAGGTGCCTGGAGCTCTACTATGGGGAGAATCCAGGGCACAGGCCTGCCTGGGTTCTCCTTTGGAGGGGGGGCGGGGTGTATAACTGTTAAATCTGCGATTAAAGGGAATCAGTCTAGTCCCCACATTGCCAATTTGGCTTTGAAAGGTGGTGAGATTGGAGTGTGGCCAAGAGCGTTGTGTGGGCATATGCGGTACCTGAGAGATCAAATGCGGTAGGAAATGGCTATTTGGAGATTAGCTCTTGTTCCAGACTTATTGAAGCAGTGTAGCTTTTGAAAAATATATCCTTTAAAATGTGAAGAGTGAGCTCTGTACTGCCCTGTGGCAGATTAAAGCAATGTCCTTGTTTGATTGAGACCTACCCCATATGATAAGCGAGGTGGAGGCTGTCTTTCTCACTCCTGGAGGGAAGTGGGTAGCAGCAGTGAATTTTAAAATGGGTGCTATAAATGGCAAACTAAAACTCCAAATGTTAGTAATTGTAGCTGATCTCTTGCACACATTGGGTGATCTGAAATTCGTGGCACATGTGAAAGAAAATCAAGGCTGAGTGGAACAAGATGAGGATGCAGAACCTTTTCGTAGCTCAAGTCTGCTGTTCTGGGTGCTAATGAAAGTTAACCATTTTTAAAATACTCCCCTTGCCAAATGTGTTGGAGATGACGTTTTTCTGTAGATAAATGAACGAAATGAGGGAAGATCAATGAAGAAGATCCTATTGCAGAATATTAGCATCTCAGTGAACTACTGAGCCCCTTGGTCATGCACGTTCCAGATAGAGAGTGGTTCTGTTAGTTCCTTGACGACCTCCTGCACTAAATAAGGAATAAAATACATGCATCCTATAAAGAGTTTCCATGGAGCTGGATTGGTTTAACTGGATTTTCATAATTTGTGCTTTATCCTTATTCGTGTGAGAGCCTATGTAGCTGAGACTAAATAAAGTTTGCTCTCTGCTGGGTTTGCAAAATTACTTTCTTCCTGCAGTGGAACTTGGGAGCTGGGAGCAGCCCTAGCTGAATTTTGGTCGGATGTACAGCTGTAAAGGCTGGGCAAGGAATGTATTTCGTTTGGTTTTGTCCAGGAAAAGCTCATATCTAAAATGAGAAGAAGGGAATAGTCTGACTTGTGAATATCACATTAGCCTTCTAAAAATAGTACGGATTTTCTTAATTCGGTATTTCAAATACATACTATTTTTCTTCACTCAAGGACATTCAACTATTTTAGGGTTTTAAATAAGAGGCCTTTTGGATTTTTTGTAATACAGAGCAAAATAGACTGGTCTATTACTAGGCTTTTTTCCTGCTGCTGAAATATCTGGTCTGCCTTTAGGGCTTCATCACAGAGTGAAAAGCTGGGTTCTTCTGTTTGACTCAGGTACTCCTATACCTTGGTTATACTCCTTGCTGGAAAGGCTTCTACATCAAAAACAGATGAGAAGGGAGGTTGTTCACAACACGAAGGCAAAAGTGTGAAGATGTGTTAACATCTGACAGAAATATTTATTTTCAATTCCTATGTACTAAATTAAGTCTTGTCAAGCTTTGAATGTGAGATACGTGTATCTGGTTTGTGTTTTCTGGGCAGTCTTTCCATAGTTTAGTGGTCAGGCATTTGAGATGATCTCTGACTCAGCATAACACCACAAATAGTCTAAAAAAAAATCTTGTCACGTAGGTTCTCTAACAAGATACATTTCTGTACCTCAGGTGTGTTTTATTTCCTGACTCAAGATAAGCAGTCTCTAGGCAGAATTTTCATTATAAAAACATCAAAGTTAAGTCTCACTGCAAGAACATTGCATTTTATAATATTCAGTGGGATTTTTTTGAATGGTTTAACTAGCATTCCTGTTAGACATAACTTTTATACTCTTCAAATTGGAATTTAAATGAATAGGGATGTATTTTTTGATACTAATCATAGTTATGTATCTATGCCAGTTCATGCACCATCAAAGTTATAAAAAATAATTGTGTGGAAATATTTCCTCCTTAAATGTGGTACACTGAATTCTTTTTCCTGTTACTGAGCCTTCAGTACAACAGAAAACACTGAGAAGGTATTTTTTTGTGAATAAATGTCTCTGTAAGCAGCATCATCTGCACTTCAAGTATTTGTGCACCTCCTTTTTTCGCACAATAGTTTATCACTACTGTGAATTAGCAGATTGCTGCAGGATAGGAATAAAGCGGGCGTGTGTGTAGGAGCAGCCGTCGCACTGTCAGCTCCCAGCCTCGATTACTTTATGATAATTTGTGTTCATTACTATTTTCTAGTGTGCCATGGAAGGCAAGCCCCAGTATAATTAGAGATTGGATCATAATGCAAATATATGTAAAATTCTCACTTATGAATGCCTGTGTAAAATCCTGTATTTGTTACAATTTGATATTGCTTTGACGTAATTTTGATTTTTGTTTGGTTTGTATCTTTTTGCTGGTTTTGAATTTATTAATTTGCATTTCGGTTTCAATTTCCTTTATTTGCCAGAAAATGTTAGAATTCTCTCTTCACGATATTTTTAAATTATGAGTATTTTTTAGGTCCTTGAATCTGCAAAGGCAATATATACCTATTTTAATGCTATTAATAAGCACTTAAAAGGGATCATTACAGTACATCTCCTTTAGCCTTTTGTCAGATGTATTTTCATGCAGTATTGCGTAATACTTCTTAAAATACTGATATCTTTTAAATAGTTTGCTTTTAACGGAGAAAGGGAAGTATCTTTCAAGGAACTAGGCATATATGACAGGAGAATAAAACTCACGTGTGCAGTTCTTTATATGCTAACTTTCTCTTACTTTTCTTGCAGGAAATCCTGGCTGAGTAAAGTTGGAAGCCCAAGTTCTCGCATAGATCGAACGAGTTTTTCCAATGAAAAGGAGATTTCCAAGCTTGACTTCTCAGGATTTAGCACTAGATACTAATAGAAGAAAAACATTGCTAAGCACAAAACTATGATGTTTCTGCTGCATGGTATTTTCTGTGCCTCCATAAAAAGTCACAAGCATTTGGATGCTCTCTGTACTTAACATAAATGGTACCTGTTCACATGAAGTAAGAATTCTTAATTGCCATATTAGACATATTAAGCCACAGACTTCAATATCTAGTAACTAAAATGCCAATATCCAATTTATTGCTTCTTGAAAGCTAGATACGATGGTTAAAAGTGTCAGTAATTCTTTGTACACAGTGAGATTTGTTATGTGTAACTATGAGGAACCGAATATTTACACTGTGATTCATATTTTAGATGCAAACTAATAAATTTGTGTTCTACCATTTCCAGTATCACCAAGAATACTTAACTACAGAACTGGAACAATGACAGATCTATTCTAACAGCTCTGTATTATAAGTCATGTTATCTGTGATAAATTAGTTTGATATAGTGGTAATTTAAAATAAATATATGTTGCCTCAAACTAAGATGATCTAACCAGCTCTGGTTTAAAATTCTCTATAATAATGCAGATAAGTCTTGGATCAAGATGGTGAAATGTGTGGCTTCACACACTTTTTTACTTGTCTACCTACAGCTTGCAACCATACTGACTATAAAGGATCTTTTTTTGATGTTCTTTCTAAAATTGAAGATTTTGGTTATTTTCCTTACGTGTGTTTGCTCCTTAATTAATGTACGTAACACCCACATATATACATCACATCAAGTACGTGAAGGGTCATAAGAAACTTAAGATATGTGCATGCAATAACCACTGGATAAGTCTTTGCAGCCATGGATATAATTTTCATATAGAGTGCTGTTTTCACAGGCACCAGGGAGTCCATCAGGGCTGGAACAGACCTATATCCTCACTCTTAGACCTGTATCCTCACTCTTAAAGTGCTTCTGTGTCAGGATTAGCACATACTGGAAGGCTTTGGTTAGATGTCACACCTATCCAAGCAGGCACCTGCGGGACCTGGCAGCATTCTCTTAGTGAAGACTGGTGTGATCATGCTGAGACAGAGTCTCCTGCTGGAAGTCCCTGTGAGAAGCTGTGGTACGTAAAGCGCATCAATACTGCAGCGCCATGGTCACAGGGCCTTGCCTTGGCTCTGAGCACGGGCAGAGCCTGCTGTCGTCTGTTTGGGCTCTGTCCTCCACGATGCCTTTTCCACGAGGATACGTACCTCCTCTAAGGGGGCCTAGTGTCAATTTAGGCAACAGCATCAAATTTGCAGGTTTGTTTTTTTTTTTTAACTTCAGGAAAGGACATTTCATAACTTCAGCGCCGCGCTTTCATCTGTGTAGAGCAAGGCTGCATAGAACGGTATTTCTGCTCATTACTAGATTTATTTTCACTGGGCCTTTGTGCATTAAGCAGTAGAATCTCCTTTCTAGAATTTGCAGGAGTTATTTTTAAATTTTTGTAGTTCAGAAACCGCACTTGACCTCTGCAATTACACACAAGCATCCTTTGTTGAAGTTGTTGTCAATAACTCTTGTTCAACTCAAATGGTAAATGACAAAGTTCAAGTGTAACGGTAGTCCAGTAGCTGTTACATCCTCTCTGAAAACTGCATCCTGCCAAACAGAAGTTTCCATTTTCCTTGGAGCTACCTGGCAGAAGATAACCCCTCAGCCAAAAGCATTTCCAGCCAAGTTGCTTTGTTCATATTTTGAGAAACAGTGACAGAGGAAGGCAGAAAACAAATGGGCTGTTAGATACACAGGAAGAGGAGCCAGAGATGAAATTGTTGATTTGGTGTGTTGGCATGGGTGGAGCTGGATGCTCACAAGGACTCAGTTTTACTTCAGCTCCACTAGAAATGCAAGGCTTGAGGAGGGGGATGAAGCCATTTAAAGTGCTCACTTTATGGGGAAGAAAATATGCTGGTAGAGAACTTTAAGAAAGTTGAAAGATGAAGAAATATGCATGTAATAACTTTCTCACGTATCGAAAACTGAAAAGATATTGCAAGTCTTGATATGAGCACTACACCAAAGACTTCGGAATACTTTTCCTAACAAAGAAGTACTTTGGCAGAAGTTGTTTCTGATATGGTGATAAGCAAATATAATTCCTGTAATCTGTAGCCTGTAAACCATAGGTCAGATCTCTTGTTGAGTCTGTCACATGGGTTTTTTCTTGTGTCTGTGAAGTAACAGCCTCTGCTTTTGTGCTTGCTTTGAGCCTACGTGATAAAAAGCTTGATTCTGGAATACTTCTATCACCTTCCTCTTGGTTTGTGAGTCAGCAATACTGATGTTTTCTATTTTCAACATCCACTTCCCTCACATCAGTGATATGACAAGAGGCAAAAAATTAATGCAAGTTCTCTAGTGAGTTTAGCTCTGAGTGATTTTGACATTCAAAACTACGATATACGTAGTTTGTGTTGTGCCATAATGTATTTAAGAGTTTAACAGTGCAGAGCAAATTGCACATAGGATGCTTTTCGGTCTTAGAGAAGTTAGGGTTTTGCTGAGTAAATAAGGTGTGTCAGTGTTTCCCAGAAACCACAGGAAAGGCTTTCAGGGAAAGAAGAAAAGGTAATAAATGTTATATTCCATACTTCCAGAATTTTGGGAAGTCTTATTGCCACTTGTACTTCTGGAGTATATTCATGTAGAGTTTCCTGAGGTGAATGGAGTTCCAAGGGAGCAAAGGGATCTCTCTTCCATTACACTTCCTCATCCTAGCTGAAGGTGGAGACCTGAGACGATGATAAGGGTAATAATGATAATATATAACAGGAAAAAAAAGTATGTCCCTGTGAATATGGGGGTTTCTGAGGCCAAAGCCTGTCTGTTAACAAGCTCAAGAATTAATACTAGACTTAGTGAGTGCTGCTGGCGTCCTGATGCCTGGCCCTGGGCAACACCTTCACAGACATTTTTAGGTTATTTTTACATTGCGTTGCAATCAGACTTTAATGCACTATAGCTGTTCTTAACTGTTGTTGCATAGCTGCATTTTCTTCATGCAAATACCTGCAGTACAGTCAGGATCTTGTATTTGTTGAGGTATTTAACCAGCTTAAGAACTGACTTATTTTATGCCTGGGGAGATGGTTGCTTTGCACAAAGTGGCACCCACCTTACTTGAGGGTAAATGCAAGCTTGTAGGACTCTTGCCCAGGTGATCATCAGCAATAAGCAGATACTCCTGCATCTCCTTGAGGATCTGAACATGAGCCAGCAGTGTGCCCAGGTGGCCAAGAAGGCCAATGGCATCCTGGCCTGGATCAGCAATAGTGTGGCCAGTAGGACCAGGGAAGTGATTGTGCCCCTGTACTCGGCACTGGTGAGGCCGCACCTTGAGCACTGTGTGCAGTTCTGGGCTCCACAGCACAGGAAGGACATCGAGGTGCTGGAGAAGGTACAGAGAAGGGCAACCAGAATGATTAGGGGACTAGAGGGTAAGTCTTACGAAGAGAGGCTTGGGGAGCTGGGGCTGTTCAGCCTGGAGAAGAGGAGGCTGAAGGGAGACCTTATTGCTCTCTGCAACTACCTGAAAGGCAGCTGTAGTGAGACGGGTGTTGGCCTCTTCTCCCTAGTGAATAGCAATAGGACAAGAAGGAACAGGTTCAGGTTGCGCCGTAGGAAGTTTAGATATTAGGAAAAACTTCTTCACCAAAAGGGTGATGAAGCACTGGTAATGGGTTGCTGAGGGAGGTGGTGGAGTCACGATCCCTGGACGTGTTTAAAAAATGGCTGGACGTGGCACTTCAGGAGATGGTTTAGTGTTAGGGTGGTGTAGGTCTGTAGGTTGGACTTGATAATCGTAACGTCCTTTCCAACTTTTATGATTCTATGATATGCTGCACACAAAACAGAGGCTTGTACTGACTGCAAAAAAGAGAATAGACTGAAGTTCGTAAGTAGCTTTTGTTGTCAAAAGCACATTGGAAAGTAGTCTAGAAGTCAGTGTGTCACTGTTGCTCTCCTGAAAAGGCTATTATAAGTGAACAGATATCAGTCTGTCTTTAATAACTTGGGTGAATTTTTCCTAGGCTGGTATCTGAAGACTGCTCAAAGTCACTTCTGTTCTCTGTCTAAACAATCCTTCAGCTCGAGGCAAGATGCGTTCCTCCAGTCCAGGCAGGTCAGGGCTTAGCAGTGAGCCTGTAGCATGGCGGGAGAGAGTGGTAATTTCCATCGGTCAGCCTCCCGGGTAGGCTAGCGAGGCTGGCCTCTGGGCTAGTGAATTCAGGGGTTCTGAAGGTGGACAAAGAGCTCCTCGGAGGGATTGGATGAGTCTGGGCAAGGCGCCTTCACGTGTGGGGAGATTTGAGCCGTCTAGAGTTTGGTTGCTTTGGAAGAATTTTTCCGTGCTGCAAGGCACATGTTTCTGTGTCAATGCAACTCCTTAAGTGTCGTCTTGCACAGCATGCATTAATCGTCTCATTTTATTTAATCCTCAGATTCTATTAAAGTATCTTGAGTCCAGAATCATCCAGTGTGTGGAAATACATTGTGTGCAGTACATCAGAGCAGGACCTCTAGATTTTCTGAAAACGTCATTGATTTTGAGGAGCCAAAGAATTCCAATGGTAAGGTAGAACAAACCGACAAGTTGGCCAATTAGACATCAAAACTAAGCTGATACCTTTCTCTTTTTTTACTACATGCTAATATCACTCCTTTGTAACTATAGACATCCTTTAATTTTATTTTGACTTCTTTCTTGAAAATGCAGTTCAGCAAGATTGAATGCTGTGTAGGCCAGCTCCATTCTGGCTGTAGTGGAAATAGTTTCCACCTATCTAAAAAGGGTTGAGACTTCTAAGAACGGGTTCCTGCTATTTCCAAATTATTCCTGCATTCTGGGAAATGCTGCTTCCTTGAAGGATTTTTTTTTGTCTGACGTGTACTCTACTGTAATTTAAGAAAGTTCACATCAGTAAACCTCAAGACCAGATGTGTTAATTGAAATTGGAGCTTAACTCCTAAATGGCCAGACAATTAAAAAAC